GACACAGTAGTAATACGATTGTAGCCATACAACCAAAACTATGGACCGTAAAGTAGACCCATAGACACATAGAGATATACAGAGATGCATAGATACCCATAGAGACGCGTATAGACTCAAAGATACATAGAGACGCATAGGGACTCAGACATACATAGATAAACATTAAAATAGGTCATAGTAGTGTGATTGTGGATGTGCAACACAAACAATGGACCATATAGTAAACGCATTGAGACTCATAGAGACACAAAGAGATACGTAACCAGAGTCCCATAGAGATACCCAGAGACCCATAGAGATACATAGCGATGCCCATATAACCATAGAGATACATTCATGACTAACCACAGTAGTGTGGCAGGACCATATAGTAAACGGATTGAGACTCATAGAGACACAAAGAGATGCATACCCATAGCCATGTACTGTATAGCGATATATTAAAGACGCAGCCACAGCAGTGCGGTTGTGGCCATGCAACCCGAGCTACGGACCGCACAGTGAACTCACTGTGGTGTGCGCTCCTTCAACGGAGGAGGACGAGGGACAGCGAAACTCCACGAACTCTCTAACTCTCTGCTGAAGCCGCACCTCCGAATATTATCACGATTGGCTACGTAGGGTGCGAAAGAAATTCAAGGTACATAGAGCCCTCTCGTCGTGGCGGGCAGCAGTGGTAGCAGCAGACCCTTGACACGTACTGCCACCAGGCAGGAAGAGGAGCGAGAATTAGACGTCACGATTTGGCCCAAAATAAGTAAGCAAGAGACAGACTGTGATGACAAATAAGAAGAGGTTTTACCATTTCTGACGATAAAACAGGAGTTATTAAGATGTTCAAACACTAAACAGACACCTTTTGCAAGGCATCAAGTCTGAATTAAGCACACGCGCAGTGCTTGTGGCAAAACACAATCTGGGCATTGTCTTTTAAAATGATTGGCCTACACCAGTGATGGTGGCGATAGTGATGATGGTGATGATGATAGTGATGATGATAGTGATGATCGTGATGATGGTGATAGTGATGATGATGATAATGATAGTGGTAATGATGATGATAGTGATAGTGGTAATGATGATGATAGTGATGATGATAATGGTGATGATAGTGATGATGGTGATAGTGGTGATGGTGATGATAGTGATGATGATGTTGATAGTGATGATGGTGATAGTGGTGATGATGGTGACAGTGATGATGGTGGTGATGATGATAGTGATGATAGTGATGATGGTGATGATGGTGATGATGATAGTGATAGTGATGATGGTGATGATGGTGATGTTGATAGTGATGATGGTGATAGTGGTGATGATGGTGATGATGGTGACAGTGATGATGGTGGTGATGATAGTGATGATGATGGTGATGATGATAGTGGTGATGATGGTGATAGTGATGATAGTGATAGTGGAGTAGCGAGCGAGTGAGCGATGTCCTTGCCCATCGCGAGCGCCCTTGCCCAAGTACACATCAGCAGCTCACCATGGGGGCGTCACGGGGCGCCGTGGTACAACGTGAATCACAGACAGAAGCGACTGGGTTCGAGTCCCGACTCCGGTGCCTCTCTCTGTGTGGTGTTGATATTCTCCCCCTGTTCTGCAGAGTGAGAGAGTGTGTGAGTGTGGGAGAGTGTGAGAAAGTGTGAATACATGAGTGAGTGTGAGAGAGTGTGAGTGAATGAGTGTCAGTGTGTGAGTGAGTACGTGAGTGTGAGAGAGTGTGAATACATGAGTGAGTGTGTGAGTGTGAGAGAGTGTGAGAGTGTGTGAATACATGAGTGAGTGTGAGAGAGTGTGAGTGTGGGGAGCGGTGGCGCAGCGGTCAGCGCACTGACCTACGAAGTGCTGTTCATTCCCGCTCACGATCAATAACAGTGGCGAATATTTGAACCAGTCCTGGGCCTCCCCTTAGTCGACTCAGCCTAAAATAAGTACTTGGTGCTGTGTGTAAACATCGCCACTAGGGAGATAAAGGCGGCCGGGCGTGGAGCTGGCCACTTACACCGTGTGCCATGTCGGCCTTTATAGGTGCTTCTCGTTAACAGCACTTGCCCAAACAGTCTGAAAACTATACGGGGGATATTTGTCTTTGTGAGTGAATGAGTGAATGTGAGTGAGTGTGGAGGTTGTACGTCCCCCCTCCCCCCAGGTTATCCAGTTTCCCTCCCATAGCTAAACCCCCACACACAGTGGTGGTGATGGTGATGATGGCCTAGCAATTGGTGAGACAAGGCCATTAAGACGACTGTCTCTGGTGTAGGCCAATCAGTGTCAAAGAAAATATTTAGATTTTTTTATCTGAGCACGTGTGTTTGCATGTTTTTCCACAGGTACGTGTGGTTAATGCAGACTTGATGCCTATTTGGTGTTTGAACATCTTAACATCTCCTGTTCTATTGCCAGAAAGGGTAAAACATTTTCTTATTTTTCATCGGAGTGGAAATGCTGCGATTGGCCAAACCGCAACCGAATGCTGAAAAATGGCACACCCATCGCCTCCACTAAATTCACTCAGCAAGCAGCAGCAGCAGTGACATCGCCTCCACGAGGATCACTCAGCCAGCAGCAGCAGTGACATCGCCTCCACTAAGTTCACTCAGCATGCAGCAGCAGTAGCAGTGAAATCGCCTCCACTAAGTTCACTCAGCAGGCAGCAGCAGTGACATCGCCTCCACTAAGTTCACTCAGCAAGCAGCAGCAGCAGCGACATCGCCTCCACTAAGTTCACTCAGCCAGCAGCAGCAGTGACATCGCCTCCACTAAGTTCACTCAGCAAGCAGCAGCAGTGACATCGCCTCCACTAAGTTCACTCAGCAAGCAGCAGCAGCAGTGACATCGCCTCCACGAGGTTCCCTCAGCCAGCAGCAGCAGTGACATCGCCTCCACTAAGTTCACTCAGCAGGCAGCAGCAGCAGTGACATCGCCTCCACTAAGTTCACTTAGCAAGCAGCAGCAGCGACATCGCCTCCACTAAGTTCACTCAGCAGGCAGCAGCAGTGACATCGCCTCCACTAAGTTCACTCAGCAAGCAGCAGCAGCGACATCGCCTCCACTAAGTTCACTCAGCAAGCAGCAGTGACATCGTCTCCACGAGGTTCCCTCAGCCAGCAGCAGCAGTGACATCGCCTCCACTAAGTTCACTCAGCAAGCAGCAGCAGCAGTGACATCGCCTCCACTAAGTTCACTCAGCAGGCAGCAGCAGCAGCGACATCGCCTCCACTAAGTTCACTCAGCAAGCAGCAGCAGCGACATCGCCTCCACTAAGTTCACTCAGCAAGCAGCAGCAGTGACATCGCCTCCACTAAGTTCACTCAGCAAGCAGCAGCAGCAGTGACATCGCCTCCACTAAGTTCACTCAGCAAGCAGCAGCAGTGACATCGCCTCCACGAGGTTCACTCAGCAGGCAGCAGCAGCGACATCGCCTCCACTAAGTTCACTCAGCAAGCAGCAGCAGCGACATCGCCTCCACTAAGTTCACTCAGCAGGCAGCAGCAGTGACATCGCCTCCACTAAGTTCACTCAGCAAGCAGCAGCAGCAGCGACATCGCCTCCACGAGGTTCACTCAGCAGGCAGCAGCAGCAGCGACATCGACTCCACTAAGTTCACTCAGCAAGCAGCAGCAGCAGCGACATCGCCTCCACTAAATTCACTCAGCAGGCAGCAGCAGCAGCGACATCGCCTCCACTAAGTTCACTCAGCAAGCAGCAGCAGCGACATCGCCTCCACTAAGTTCACTCAGCAGGCAGCAGCAGTGACATCGCCTCCACTAAGTTCACTCAGCATGCAGCAGCAGCGACATCGCCTCCACTAAGTTCACTCAGCAGGCAGCAGCAGCAGTGACATCGCCTCCACTAAGTTCACTCAGCAGGCAGCAGCAGCAGTGACATCGCCTCCACTAAGTTCACTCAGCAAGCAGCAGCGACATCGCCTCCACTAAATTCACTCAGCAGGCAGCAGCAGCAGTGACATCGCCTCCACTAAGTTCACTCAGCAAGCAGCAGTAGCAGTGACATCGCCTCCACGAGGATCACTCAGCCAGCAGCAGCAGTGACATCGCCTCCACTAAGTTCACTCAGCAGGCAGCAGCAGCAGTGACATCGCCTCCACTAAGTTCACTCAGCAAGCAGCAGCAGCGACATCGCCTCCACTAAGTTCACTCAGCAAGCAGCAGCAGTGACATCGCCTCCACTAAGTTCACTCAGCAAGCAGCAGTAGCAGTGACATCGCCTCCACGAGGATCACTCAGCCAGCAGCAGCAGTGACATCGCCTCCACTAAGTTCACTCAGCAGGCAGCAGCAGCAGTGACATCGCCTCCACTAAGTTCACTCAGCAAGCAGCAGCAGCGACATCGCCTCCACTAAGTTCACTCAGCAAGCAGCAGCGACATCGCCTCCACTAAATTCACTCAGCAGGCAGCAGCAGCAGTGACATCGCCTCCACTAAGTTCACTCAGCAAGCAGCAGTAGCAGTGACATCGCCTCCACGAGGATCACTCAGCCAGCAGCAGCAGTGACATCGCCTCCACTAAGTTCACTCAGCAGGCAGCAGCAGCAGTGACATCGCCTCCACTAAGTTCACTCAGCAAGCAGCAGCAGCGACATCGCCTCCACTAAGTTCACTCAGCAAGCAGCAGCGACATCGCCTCCACTAAATTCACTCAGCAGGCAGCAGCAGCAGTGACATCGCCTCCACGACTGCGGACAAACTCGGCATTACCCATCCTGAAAGCGAATCTTGAGACTCAGCGAGGCACTCCAAGAGGTAAAAGCGTTACGAACGAATACATGACATTTAATGAAAACAAATAATCAGCAGCTACGATCTATTCACTGATGGATGGAACAGCACTCAATAGATGTCCCGGTTGTTGATCCAGGATAGAGGTGGCAACCCTTCCCCCACACCCCAAGGTCGCGCGTCGACGGTGAACGTGAGGGCCCCCTTTCTTAGAGGGTCCTAGAACCCCTCGCCCCTCCGACCCCAACTCACCCAGTCAGGGGTCCAATCAGGGGTGCAGTCGTGCGGCGCGGGGCTCATCATCCCCTCGCCGCCCCCCTGGCACGACCCCAGGCTGGGCAGGCGCTCCCGGCAAGGGGGTCCCGGGTCCCCCTCGGCGAGGCCGTCCCCGCAGCCCCCCGTCAGGGAGTCCACGCTGTGCAAGGATGGGGGGTCCCACAGGGAGCCGGGGCCCCTCGAGCTCCAGGGGTCCCCGTCGCTGTCGGGGCTGCAGATCGCGGGTCCCCTCGCTTCCTCCGGGGTCCCCTCGGCCGCCGAGCGTCGCAACGGGGACCTGGGCCCCCTCGGGCGCTGCAGGGGCGAGTGGCGACCCCAACGAGCCCGCGGGCCCTGGCTCCCCTTCCCCCGCGGAGACTTGGACCCCTGAAGGGACCTCCTGGTCGCCGCGGGCGGGGTCCGTCGTGACGGCGAGGGGGTCTCGGCTCTGGAGAGGGGGTCTGGGTCCCTCTGAGGGGCCCCGCGCCGGGAGGAGATGGGGTCCCTTTTCCAGGACGCGCGAACCCCGGGCTCTTTGCTTCTCGGGGATCCCCGCTCGGAGGGACCCCTGCTTGGGAAGCCCCTGTGTGAGGGAGCCCTGTCTGTACAACTCTTGTCTGGGCGAACCCTGTTCACGACAACACCACCCCTGTCTCTGGGGTCCCTGTCCCACGGGCCCGCGTCTGAGGGACTCCGTTCTGCGGGACCCCCTCTGTCTCGTGAGGGACCCCCTCTGTCTGGTGAGGGACCCTCTCTGTCTGGTGGGGGACCCCCAGAGGGCAGCAGAAGTTTTCGCGCCATTTTCGAGAAGCGGCCCGAGGGCCCGGAGCCTGCGGCCCTACGCTCCATAACCCCCCACCTCACCGCCTGCCCTCCTCACCACTCTCACCTCCTCCTCACCTCTATCATAATCACCTCACCACTCTCACCTCCTCTCCTCTATCGTCGCCACTCTCACCGCCTCACCACTCTCATCGCACTTCTATCATCACCAATCCACCTCGCCACTTTCACCTCACCACCACTCTCACCTCCTCACAACCTCTATCATCTTTATCACCTCCTCACCACTGTCACACCCTCGTCACCTCTATCGCTTTCTCATCAAATCTCCGCCTCCCTTTACATCCTTAACCGGCTCACCTTTGCCAGTTCCTCAGCTCTCTCTCTCGCCCCCCACCTCTTCACAATCTCCTTACCGCTAACCCCTCGCTGTGCTCACCTCCGCTCACTCTCAACGCCTCACCTATTTACCCTCACCGCAATGCACATCGAGTGTTTCACCTCACCATCCATTCCTCACATCTTTTTTCTTCCTCACTTTACCTCATCACTTCCTCACCTCCTCCCTTCCCGCACCTCGTCACTCTCCCTTCACTCTCCCGTTACTCTCCCTTCACTCTCCCGTCACTCTCCCGTTACTCTCGCTTCACTCTCCCGTAACGTTCACTTCACTCTCCCGTTACTCTCCCTTCACTCTCCCGTTACTTTCACTTCACTCTCCCTTCACTCTCCCGTTACTCTCCCGCCACTCTCCTGTCACTCTCCCGTTACTTTCACTTCACTCTCCCGTCACTCTCCCTTCACTCTCCCGTTACTCTCGCTTCACTCTCCCGTTACTCTCCCTTCACTCTCCCGTCACTCTCCCTTCACTCTCCCGTTACTCTCGCTTCACTCTCCCGTTACTTTAACTTCACTCTCCCGTTACTCTCCCTTCACTATCCCGTTACTTTCACTTCACTCTCCCGTTACTCTCCCGTTACTCTCCCGCCACTCTCCTGTCACTCTCCCGTTACTTTCACTTCACTCTCCCTTCACTCTCCCGTTACTCTCGCTTCACTCTCCCGTTACTCTCCCTTCACTCTCCCGTCACTCTCCCTTCACTCTCCCGTTACTCTCCCTTCACTCTCCCGTTACTTTCACTTCACTCTCCCGTTACTCTCCCGTTACTCTCCCGTCACTCTCCCTTCACTCTCCCGTTACTCTCCCTTCACTCCCGTTACTCTCCCGTTACTCTCCCGTTACTCTCCCGTCACTCTCCCGTTACTCTCCCACCACTCTCCCTTCACTCTCCCGTTACTCTCCCTTCACTCTCCCGTTACTCTCCCTTCACTCTCCCTTCACTCTCCCATTACTCTCACGTTACTCTCCCTTCACTCTCCCGTTACTCTCCCTTCACTCTCCCGTTACTCTCCCTTCACTCTCCCGTTACTTTCACTTCACTCTCCCGTTACTCTCCCGTTACTCTCCCGTTACTCTCCCACCACTCTCCCGTTACTCTCCCTTTACTCTCTCCTCACTCTCCCGTTACTTTCACTTCACTCTCCCGTCACTCTCCCTTCACTCTCCCTTCACTCTCCCGTCACTCTCCCTTCACTCTCCCGTTACTCTCCCGTTACTCTCCCGTCACTCTCTCTTTACGCTCCTGTCACCTGCACGTCTCTCTCCGTCTCGCTGTGGATCGCGGCTGTGCTGGTTATGAATGAGTCGGGATGATGATGAGGGGCGGGGTGAGGGGGGAGGGGTGAGTGTGGGTGAGGGGAGGGGTGAGTGGGGTGAGGCATTGATTGACGAGGTCGCGAGTCTAATTGAGGCTCTAAGTGGCTGCCGCTGTTCCCGCGGGGAACACGATCCGCTTCTCACCTGCTCCCCCACTCTCCCCTTGCTCCCCCACTCTCCCCCTGCTCCCCCACTCTCCCCCTGCTCCCCCACTCTCTCCCTGCTCCCCCACTCTCCCCCTGCTCCCCCACTCTCCCCCTGCTCCCCCACTCTCCCCCTGCTCCCCCACTCTCCCCCTGCTCCCCCACTCTCCCCCTGCTCCCCCACTCTCCCTGCTCCCCCACTCTCTCCCTGCTCCCCCACTCTCCCTTGCTCCCCACTCTCCCCCTGCTCCCCCACTCTCCCCCTGCTCCCCACTCTCTCAAAGCTCCCACACTCTCCCTTGCTCCCCCACTCTCCCCCTGCTCCCCCACTCTCCCCCTGCTCCCCCACTCTCTCAAAGCTCCCCCACTCTCCCTTGCTCCCCCACTCTCCCCCTGCTCCCCCACTCTCCCCCTGCTCCCCCACTCTCCCCCTGCTCCCCCACTCTCTCAAAGCTCCCCCACTCTCCCCCTGCTCCCCCACTCTCTCCCAGCTCCCCCACTCTCCCCCTGCTCCCCCACTCTCCCCCTGCTCCCCCACTCTCTCACTGCTCCCCCACTCTCCCCCTGCTCCCCCACTCTCCCTTGCTCCCCCACTCTCCCCCTGCTCCCCCACTCTCTCACTGCTCCCCCACTCTCCCCCTGCTCCCCCACTCTCCCCCTGCTCCCCCACTCTCCCCCTGCTCGCCCACTCTCTCACTGCTCCCCCACTCTCCCCCTGCTCCCCCACTCTCCCCCTGTTCCCCCACTCTCTCACTGCTCCCCCACTCTCTCCCTGCTCCCCCACTCTCTCACTGCTCCCCCACTCTCCCCCCTGCTCCCCCACTCTCCCCCTGCTCCCCCACTCTCCCCCTGCTCCCCCACTCTCCCCCTGCTCCCCCACTCTCTCACTGATCCCCCACTCTCCCCCTGCTCCCCCACTCTCTCACTGCTCCCCCACTCTCCCCCTGCTCCCCCACTCTCCCCCTGCTCCCCCACTCTCCGCCTGCTCCCCCACTCTCCCCCAGCTCCCCCACTCTCTCCCTGCTCTCCCACGCTCTCCCTGCTCCCCCACTCTCTCCCTGCCCCCCACTCCTCCCTGCTCCCCCACTCCTCCCTGCTCCCCCACTCTCTCCCTGCTCCCCCACGCTCTCCCTGCTCTCCCACTCTCTCCCTGCTCCCCCACTCTCCCTTGCTCCCCCACTCTCCCTGCTCCCCCACTCTCCCTGCTCCCCCACTCTCCCTGCTCCCCCACTCTCCCTGCTCCCCCACTCTCTCCTTGCTCCCCCACTCTCCCTGCTCCCCCACTCTCCCTGCTCCCCCACTCTCTCCCTGCTCCCCCACTCTCTCCTTGCTCCCCCACTCTCCCTGCTCCCCCACTCTCCCTGCTCCCCCACTCTCCCTGCTCCCCCACTCTCCCTGCTCCTCATCATTGCTCCCGCTCCTCCCACACTCCACCTTCTCTCCAATCCGGTTTCCTTCCCTTCCTCCCTGGTCCCCACTAATTTTCTCTCTGCTCCCTCCTCGTTGCCGTCCCAGCTTCTCCCCGCTCCATCTCTACCCCCCTCCTCTCCTTTGCTCCCCCTCCTCTCCTTTGCTCCCCCTCCCGTAACTCTGCCCCCCCTCCCACCCCCATGCTCACTTCTCTCCCTTCGCCCTCAACTCTCCCCCATCCCTCGCCCCGCCCCTGCGCTCTCCCCAGGGACCCCGCCGCGCGTGGTAATGCGAGGAGAGTGGCGCGACGGGGTAGGATCGATATAGACGCGCCCGGTCCGACTCAGACTCCCCCCCTCCGCCTCTCTCAGTGATGGAGACGGTGATGTTAGCGAGCGCCTATTAAGGTTGACAGGAGGGCGGGGCTGGCGCAACGTGGTGCCCGGACGCCTTTGTCTCCCCTCCCCCCACGGCCCGTTCCGCGCGGCTCGTCTCTCGCGCATCCGCGAAGTCTACGCGGTCCATCGATCTGCAGCAGCAGCAGCAGCGATGTCTATGGATAGAGGTCACTCTGATCTGAGTGAGTGAATCAAGAAGACGCACATCTCTCCCTCCACCGAGGCACACACACACACAAGCTATTATACTACTACTACTTAGTATTTTATTTGACCAGGTAAGGTCCACTGAGCTCCGATGCAGCTCTTTTTGAAAACCGACCTGACGATCACAAATGGAGAGCTCAGCTTCGTGACCTTGACGCTGCCAATGAGACACTGAAAGTCGAAACCGGTCCAGGCTTTTGCTTGCCTTGAAGCAACGTTGCTGAAATTGTGCGTTGCTGAAATTGTGCGCTCCCAGAAGGAAGGCCATGTGGCTGATGGGATGTGTCAAGGATGTTTGTACTTTGTGTGTGGAGGATGTTTGTACTTTGTGTGTGAAGGATGTTTGTACTTTGTGTGTGAAGGATGTTTGTACTTTGTGTGTGAAGGATGTTTGTACTTTGTGTGTGAAGGATGTTTGTACTTTGTGCGTGGAGGATGTTTGTACTTTGTGCGTGGAGGATGTTTGTACTTTGTGCGTGGAGGATGTTTGTACTTTGTGCGTGGAGGATGTTTGTACTTTGTGCGTGAAGGATGTTTGTACTTTGTGCGTGAAGGATGTTTGTACTTTGTGCGTGAAGGATGTTTGTACTTTGTGTGTGGAGGATGTTTGTACTTTGTGTGTGGAGGATGTTTGTACTTTGTGCGTGGAGGATGTTTGTACTTTGTGCGTGGAGGATGTTTGTACTTTGTGCGTGGAGGATGTTTGTACTTTGTGCGTGGAGGATGTTTGTACTTTGTGCGTGGAGGATGTTTGTACTTTGTGCGTGGAGGATGTTTGTACTTTGTGCGTGGAGGATGTTTGTACTTTGTGCGTGAAGGATGTTTGTACTTTGTGCGTGAAGGATGTTTGTACTTTGTGCGTGGAGGATGTTTGTACTTTGTGCGTGGAGGATGTTTGTACTTTGTGCGTGGAGGATGTTTGTACTTTGTGCGTGAAGGATGTTTGTACTTTGTGCGTGAAGGATGTTTGTACTTTGTGTGTGAAGGATGTTTGTACTTTGTGTGTGGAGGATGTTTGTACTTTGTGTGTGGAGGATGTTTGTACTTTGTGTGTGGAGGATGTTTGTACTTTGTGTGTGGAGGATGTTTGTACTTTGTGTGTGAAGGATGTTTGTACTTTGTGTGTGAAGGATGTTTGTACTTTGTGTGTGGAGGATGTTTGTACTTTGTGTGTGGAGGATGTTTGTACTTTGTGTGTGGAGGATGTTTGTACTTTGTGTGTGGAGGATGTTTGTACTTTGTGTGTGGAGGATGTTTGTACTTTGTGTGTGGAGGATGTTTGTACTTTGTGTGTGGAGGATGTTTGTACTTTGTGTGTGGAGGATGTTTGTACTTTGTGTGTGGAGGATGTTTGTACTTTGTGTGTGGAGGATGTTTGTACTTTGTGTGTGGAGGATGTTTGTACTTTGTGTGTGGAGGATGTTTGTACTTTGTGTGTGGAGGATGTTTGTACTTTGTGTGTGGAGGATGTTTGTACTTTGTGTGTGGAGGATGTTTGTACTTTGTGTGTGGAGGATGTTTGTACTTTGTGTGTGGAGGATGTTTGTACTTTGTGTGTGGAGGATGTTTGTACTTTGTGTGTGGAGGATGTTTGTACTTTGTGTGTGGAGGATGTTTGTACTTTGTGTGTGGAGGATGTTTGTACTTTGTGTGTGAAGGATGTTTGTACTTTGTGTGTGGAGGATGTTTGTACTTTGTGTGTGAAGGATGTTTGTACTTTGTGTGTGAAGGATGTTTGTACTTTGTGTGTGAAGGATGTTTGTACTTTGTGTGTGGAGGATGTTTGTACTTTGTGTGTGAAGGATGTTTGTACTTTGTGTGTGAAGGATGTTTGTACTTTGTGTGTGGAGGATGTTTGTACTTTGTGTGTGGAGGGAGAGACAGACGACCT